ATTTACAATGGGAATAAAAACTGGTCGGATTAAGTCTGTGAATGTGTGTGAATGAGGGGGCATACCTCTTTTAGTAGAATATTTTTTATTACATAGCATTTTTCTGATTCTTCTCTGCTGTCCAGTAGGTTTCTTACTCCGTTTTATAATAACAGCTAGCTGCGCCATGGGCGCATGATACGCCCGTCGCGTTTTCAAATAATAAAGTTCATTCTCTTATGGTTGTGGTTTATTATGTATTTCTTGCACGAATAGAAATTTCTTATATCACACTGCACGGAGTGTGATACGAAAATCTGCGTTAATTTTATTTGCTTATCCAGCATCATAAGACGACATTACGGCATTTCCATTGGCTATTCGTTAGGTCATTGACGACCATCAAAGGTTACGACGATGTACATTTCGTGTGCAAAACACTAGACCAACGATTCGCGGAAATATTAATTTAACACAGTGATGGTGTTGACAAAAGAGAAATCGGTTTAACAACTTGTGAGAATGGGATATCGCTTGATATCAACTCTCGTTATTTAATTCAAGTAAGTAAGTCAGTAAGTAATTTCCTCTCGTTATTTTATTCAAATAGTAATAATAAACTCACCGGAGGCTCGTTTATTATTATATTGAAATTAAATAACTCGAGTTGATATCAAGCGATATCCATTCTCACTCGTTATGAAACCTGTAAATAATTTCTCAATGTCATTTAATTTCTCAAAAATTTATGAAAAAAAAACTGAAAGGGAGGTTACCTTAATCTACATAAAGCAGTCACCAAAGTTTCATGAAAACTCCTCAAAGCACTTTAAAAATATTGTCCGAAAACTGTAAAATCGTCCCTTTTTAGCTCACCTGGCTCCAAAGGGTCATGTGAGCTTTTCTAATCACTTGGCATCCGTCGTTGTCCGTCGTCGTCGTCCGTTAACTTTTTCATTGTGTTGTCCCGTGATGCTCGGAATTATACGTCTAGAGTTTTAATTGCTGTTGAACAGATCACAATCTGAGCAGCTAAATAAATGTATTTTAATGTTAAGGATAGCGGATCATGAGCAACGCAATTTTTTTAACAAAAATCTTCTCCTCTGAAACTTATGGACCAAGTTCATTATAGATAGAATAAACAGCAAGAATGTTCAGTAAAGTAAGATCTACATACAAGTCACCATCACCAAAACAGAGAATTTAGTCATGAATTCTATTCTTGTCTTTAAAATAGAAGAGTGTCCTTTGTTTAATATGCACTGCAGCACATAGACCAAGGTGAGCGACACAGGCTCTTTAGAAAAATCCCATAGCTCGGAAACGTAAAATCTAAAAATTTTAAAATTCTAAAGGGAGGATACCTCAATAGATATAAACAATTCACAGAAGTTTTATGTAAATTGGTTACCGTATACCATAATACGTCCCGTATAAAAACTCCGGGGTTCACCTCGAAAAATATTATTAACTGTGACAACAAAAGTAGCATAAAATGAAGTTGAAATGATTATGAGTCCCCTGCACTATGGTCTAAGGACCTTTTAATAAAGAATCCAATAATTTATAATTTAATACTGGAAAGTAACAGTAATTTTATCCGAACAGAAAATTTGCATTAAATTGAAAATGGTTAATTTTGATCAACGTAGTAATATGTTTTGGTGATTTATTGAGAAAATTTGATATTGTCATTCATTAAATTACATTTATAAACTAGAAAAGTCATTTTTTAAAGTCAAGAATTCTTTTTTTCTTATTAAAATTTCTGTTAAAAAACCCGGACCATTTGTTTAAAAACCGGGACGGTTTCACAGTTCCTCTCGAAAAAACCCGGACAGTAACAAACACTGAATTTAATGGTTAAATACAAGGTTATTGTGCTTCTTTGTTACTCAAAACATGTATAGCATTCAAAATAAGATGGGTAGTCATGTAAAAGACTATTTTGATTACGAATTAGCAGTTAATTGACCTAATCGCATGTTTTATCACTCGAAAAAGCCCGATCTACACTCGAAAAAATGGACAGATTCACTCGAAAAACCACGATCCTAGCCGGACACTATACCTACCGTGTTAGTGATTGATTTTTTTTTCTCATATCTTGATGTGTTTTGTCTAATGGGGAATTTGGGATTTATTGTAAATTATTGATATTGTCTCTATCAAATTAAGGGACTTTCTTTCGTGCCAAATAATTACACTTTTTTATTGCAGGGTGAAGCGTAGGGTGTGCGTCGCCTAATTGCGTATTTCCAGGTCATAAATCAAAATTATTTATGAAAAGACATGTTGAAAATGCCACGCTTAACTCCCAGATATTATCTTGTACCATTGATATAATCGTATATATGCTCAATCATGAGTTTTACGATTAATCATGTAAGGGAACAGCTATTAATACTATAAGTGTTCTTATTACATGAAAAGGAGTATAGTCAGAAAAGTTACGAGAAATCCTGCAAAAACTAAGACATCAAACCATCAATCCCTAATATTGTCGTTTTTCATGTCTAACAAACAAACAGAAGAAGGTACTGACTTACATTGCAATGAAGTTTGAAGCCAAAAATGATGACACAAGAGATATATAAATGACATTTGAATCAAGTGTTAGACACTCCTGCTGAATAATCAGTCAATCAGATACTGATTTAGTGTCTGCATCAAATTATCTAGAAATTTGTCATGTTTGAAATACAGAATTGCTAAATTATTGTGAACAAATTTCGATGCCCCTTCCCATTTGGGGTATTTAAACATTGGAACCCCCCTTTCCATTCCCAATTTTTTTTCAATGCTCCCCTTAATTTACTCCAATTTCCCCTTCAGGTTCCAAATGACCAGTCCCTAATTAACATCTTTTTGAGACTTTATGCGTTTTTTTTTTGGTTAAAAAGTATTTATTATTGAAAACTATAACAATTGAACAATACAATTTTACATAGCAGTAAAAATATGGGGTTCGGAAACAAGTTTTGATTTTTTTATAAATCCGTCTCTTTTTTTGGGGGGTGGGGTGGGGGTAGGTGGATAGAGTGTGAGTTGGAGTTGCTTTCTAATTTTCGTTTACCCAACATCATGTTGTTATTATGTTCCGTTTAATATATAGTTTAGGTTTATTCCGTTTTTTACCACATATATGGCAATATATTAATAAATTATAAAAAAAACTTCAACAAATCTATTGTTCGAAAAACAAACATTGTAGTTTTAAACTTTTGTTCAATTGTTGTCAAAAGAAAATTGATAAGTATGTTAAGATGAATACGAGCTTTCTTCATGTCAGACTTGATTTGTGTCTTTCATTATTATATAAAGGACATGTTGTGTTTAAATACTTTTGAAAACGTTTATTTCAATAACTTAACAACTAGTGTATATATTAAAAAAGGACACATGTTCTGTTTAACATCAATCCATGGTATCTGGGATCTAATATATCATATAAGACCCTAGATGGTATTTAAAACTAAAATCGTATTTTATATTCTAATTTCATATTATTATATAGATTATAATATGTTACGTACGAAGTTCTCCAATTATACAATGCAATGCTTTAATTATTCTCAAGATTGAAACCAGACAAATATTTTAGTATAAACTAAAAAACGTCCATTGGACCATACCAATGAAAAATTCCGAAAAAAGATTTGAGATTTCAATGCGCAACGCAAATATTCTTTTAAGTATTCCAAATGTTATTCTGTATTTGTCAATTAGACAAAAACAAATATTAAGCGGATCATCCTACATGCATGTATCCTTAAAGAAGGATTAATTATGATGGTAGTTCACTAAATGTAAACTGTAAATTTCAAGGGTAGAATATATCAAATAATAAAGTTGGATTTACATGATTGATTGATGTTTAACGCCACTTTCAGTACTATTGGCTATTTTGTAGTAGCCAGTTTTTATCAATGGATGAATCCAGAGTTCCCGGAGAGAACCACCGACTTTCGGTAGGAAAACTGACAATCCTAGTCAATTAAGATTAGAGTCGAACACACCTGTCACATACGGGGTTCGAACTCGCAACTTCAGTTTTGACAGGCTAGTGATACAGTAGTTGAATTAATTAAACCACTCGGCCATCGAGGCCCTCTTATTTATATGACATCTCGTATATAATAGGAAAAACTGTGTACACACATTATGAAAGCTTTAACATAGAAATATACAGGAATGTGTAAAATATGTAAAACTTTCGATATGTGTTGTGTCGGAATACCACCATAAATTTATTCAAATATACTCCGGAAATATGATAAGTTCCTGCTCCACTTGTGGCACCAGCACAAGTGAAAATCCGGTGATAAATTGTGTTCAAATAAAACCAAAATGTACATGGCATACAACTTCAATATGTATGTAAGAATATTTTGACATATATATTGAAAAGGATCACTTACAAAAATTGATCACATGAAATTGAACTGACTTTCATTTCTTTTTATTAATGCATTTGATTAATAACTACTATATCTATTATGGTAGACACCAATATCATTTTTTTAAATCTAAATGTTCTACCAAAACTACTCTCAAAGGACTCATCCATATTATTAACATATTTTAAAAGAACTGTGCTAGATAAATCAAATGATTGACCTGGACAAATAGACTAAGACATTTGACAAGTACTTTGTTACCCCCTCTCCCTTGGACATAATATATTGACAGTCCCAGCCTCTTCCAATTCTTTCTGAACCAGTGCATAGACCTGTAGCTTATAACCCAGTTACAGGATTGATATAGCTAATTTCATTATACACTTCAGGTTTGTGGGCTGTGTTACCGGAAGTGTATGGAAAACCGGCATATAGCGCATATCTTGAAACGTCACTTCGAAACGAGTTGTTCAACACCTATGAAGTTCTCCAAAGACCAGAAAATCAGATGTTCATATCAATGAGTCTTACTATTTTGACTGTTAATGATATGGTAAATAATTACAAATTATCATAAAAAATCATATTAATCTAAACTGTTTAAATATATTTTCATAGAGATATTATTTGTCGATGCTGCTGGACAAGCGAAACCAGAGTACAGTACGGATCTGGAGACATCGCTTCGAAATGAACTGTTTAACCAATATGAAGTCCTTCAAAGACCACAGGAAAATGTTTATGTCAATGTGACCTTAACCATTTTGACAGTGAACGACTTGGTATATTTTATCAACTACGCGTATTTGCTTCCCTTACTGCTTACTATCGCTTGTATGTGATTTTTTATATATTTATATAGTTTTTATTCAGAATAGGCAACATTTTTTCATTTGTATATAATACTAATATCTGTATACTAGATGCTGTGTGGATAACTTCGCTTGTGCATTGGCAGGAACACAGACGTTCGTCCTTCTATTGCAAATAATTTATATTGCTTCATGGTATATGCTGTAGTTCATGGTTTTTTTTATGTTTTTCTTAACATTACATATATATAGGCGTATTGGTGTTTGTCACTCATATAAACTAACTTTGTAGTTTCCACCAGTTTTTTTTAATTCTATTTTATTATGACAGATCGAATTATTTTTATTTTATATAAAGATAAGAAGATGTGGTATGACTGCCGATGAGACAACTCTCCACTAGAGACCAAATGACGTAAAAGTTACAATTATAGGTCACCGTACGCCCATCAACAATGAGCAAAACACATACCGCATTTTAGTAAGATATAAAAAGCCCGATATGACAAATGGAAAACAATTCAAATGAGAAAACTAACTGCTTGATTTATATACAAAACAATAAACGAAAAAAAAAATATGATATGCATTTTATAGCTCACTATGCGGTATGGGTTTTACTCATTGTTGAAGGTCGTCCGGTGACCTATAGTTGTTAATTTTTGTGTCATTTGGTCTCTTGTGGAGAGTTGTCTTATTGTCAATCATCCCATATTGTCTTATTTTTATATTTAGGCTATTTTACTATACATTTAATTAAAAAACAAATCAACATCGGAACATGGGGAAGCTATTCACAAATGTTTTTGATGAGGAATATTGACACAGTGTAATGAGTTGAAACACACTTATTTTAGTGCCTAACTATATAATGTGGACTATAATGCATTCTGTTTCGATTTTTTTTCTTTTGACCATGGTATTGACTATGCTTATTGACTGTATCCTTGTTTTTTAGTTATTATTATTATTATTATTGGGGATTTTTTTGCTTTTTCGTGTCGCTTGACTCATAATATTGATGTCAGTTGTTGTTTGCGTAAATCTCTATACCTTTTCCATCCACTAGTCCTCTTAAATTGCTCAATAAAAAGCAATCTAGTCAACCTTGAACTTAGTTTTCAACAAGAAGTCCAATTTAAGACTGTTACTGTCATGTGCTTGTATTACTAATTTCGGGAAATCCCCATAGCCATTAAAGGTGCTTTGCATGGTTATTTGAACTTCAAAGAAAACTTAAACCCCTAAAAAAAAAGAAAAAAAAACTCAAACAGAATCTTCAACAAAAAATGGTGTTGTACAAACCATATTAGGGTTTTTGCATGATTCATAAGGGCTACATACTTACATCCCGAAAAACAACAATCGGAATCTCACACACGTGTAATAATTCTCACCTTGTCAGTTTTTGTTTGATTGAATTTGGAATGTTCCTTGGCACGTTTGTACCTGTACGTGGATTATATGGGGTGTGCGACTTGTTTTCGAATTACACCTTAAACCACTGAACATGAACAAACCATGCATGGACTAATTCTTGTGGTGATGCATATTCTATTTCATTATTTTATTTTTATTATTGGATTTTCTATGCTTAAACATGATTTTTTGCTTTAGACTAAGATGGTTTGTATTTGAAAATCTATCTATATTTATTAAACAACATTTTATAACCTTAAAGGATGAAACAAAAACAGTTATAGTAGAATCAATTGATTGGCTTTTATTTGTTTAATTTTGTGTGGCAAAATATAGCAGTTTGATTAATTTCATTTTGCTCTTCCTTCTTTATAATTTCAAGAAACGTAAGACTTCCCTATATTTTATGAACGATAAATAGTACATTGTAAGATTTATATGTCTATTCTATGAGTGTCCATTCTTACTAGAGATAACAATATTTTATTCTTCAGAGCATTAAAGATCAAGCACTCTCAATATCAGGTTACTTAAATGTGGTAAGTTTAGTATTGAATAGATATAAGAAAATCTAACGCATCCTTAAAGGAGACATGACACGATTTTCAATTTGTGTTTCAAAATGTTTATTTATACTTAACTTTCCCCAAAAATACATCGATAGCAATATAAGTGTCAACTATTTAAGAAAATATGTATTTTAATGAGATTTTAATGCAACGATTTATCGACCTGTCAAATATGCATATTTCCATCCCGGAAGTCACTCAGAACGAGGCTAATACGTCAGTGGTTACATTCATTCATATTGACATATGGGTACAGCACAAATTTAGTTTCGATTATTATCCAACAAAACGCATGACAGTGATAAACAATGATTATGTGTGATGCCGATGGATTCAACAATATAATTAAAAAGAATATTGACATGATATTTTGTTTTTTTAATGACACGCAGACTTAGAGGGTGTAAAGATGGGACTTTTTAACAAGCCCAAACTACACTTCTTTTCGCCCACTTTCATTATTATTCTAGAGTTGGGGTCTCGGGTGCCATGTCATGAGTTCATCATAGGTCACAGGTGTACGGTACAGATGATTGAGTTTCGCAATTTCAGGTCTCGTTTGAAGTTGCAAACTTCAAGTGTCACTCCACATGGGGGGTTGATAAAGACATATAGTGATTACGCAATATTACTTCATAAGCTCTTTGTGTACATCCTGGATGTTGGTTTTGCCGAGGGCACAGGTGAGATTGGAATATATTATTGTTGTGTACAGAAAACAGGTACAACTACCTAATCATATATGTTTAATGAATACCTGTAGTACGACCATACAATACCCTATGCACCTTCAATTAAATACCCTAACCCGTGTTGATAACAATAGACAACCTGTATATAGATCTTATTTTTATTGCTTTTAAGAATATGCAGATATAAAAAGGTTTATAACAGATGCATTTTTAATTGACTTCTTGAGATGGAAAATTAAAATATTCTTGTATGCTTGCAAGTCTATAACTTCATAAGAAATTGTTAGACATAAAGCATAAAAAGCAAACAAGGAAATGATACGAGAATGTGAATCATAAGTCTTTTACATTCTTTTTCTGACACATTCCCTATTTCCATTCTCAATTTATTATATTGAACATCGAATATAATTATTGACAACTATTTAGTTGATAAAGATTCAGATGATGAAAAACATTTCTTTTTAAAATGGAAACTTTATAATAAATGAAGAAAGTGTCGTTTACCGTACGGCCTCCAATAATGAGAAAACCCCATACCGTATATTCGGCTATAAAAGTTCTCAACGTGAAAAATTTTAACGAGAAAACTAACTTATTTATAACAAAATAATTTCCGTAGAAAAAAATTGACAGACGTGAATCAACGACAACAACTGATCTATATGCTCCTGATTTCAGACAGGCACATTCAAAATGTGTCGGTGATATATATTTGTGAGCGCCTACGGTACCCTCTCCCCCTCCCAACGTGTGACAGTGGTCTTACAGCAGTACATTAGAACTATAAAAAACAGTCTAACGCAAAAGATCGGTACGAAGTAGAGAAACCACTAACGTTAAAACAATAGAGACAACGCAAAAATACTGATAGCTAGATCAAAGCCAAGTACAGCTAATACACAAGTCATGTTCTCGAAGACTGAAGTATGTTACATGTAAACATTTTCCTGCTCAGTCCCATTGAAAATCTAACATTTATTCAAATGACCCCTTTTGGAAAAAATATTTTGAAAAAGAACATTATGTGTTGCGAATATTTTCCTGGACTCAAGCGTTTTGCTGGTAGCAATAAACAAATTGATAGCTAAATGATATTTGGAAGAGAGGGGTGGAAATAAGTGAATTTGAATTTACTTTGTGTAATTCCTTAAATTTGAAGTTAGATTTATAAGGGTCTGGATGGAATAGCATACTTTAGAAGTGTAGTATAACTATATTAATTATTTCAACATAAGATAGTTTTTCTTAGAAATGTATTGTTTTTAAAGGTAAATAACATAACACGTGACTAAATCACACTACAGGTGCCTTCTTGCCTTTCTCCTGGTCAAGTATGCTATAGGTGTCAACATTTAATCACTAAAACAACAGCCTCCAATAAATGTTTTGTATTGTGTAATTTTATACATTAGGTGAGACGTAAATAAAATATTGAATTGAATTGTTTACATAAAAGAGGGAAAGTAATAAAATTGTTAATTGAATATCCTAATGCAGAAATAGTGTGATAACGGATTTTTCACTATACAAATCCTTTGTGTGATGTATGGTTTCCAACCAAAAAAATTATAAGCATAACTTTTGGTGATAATTTATACCTATTAAAAGTCTCTATGTAATAAATAAAATAAAAACAGACACTTTGCGAACGCCTAATTTGACTTTTACTATCTTTTTTTTCTGCTTCTGGCGCACACATAATTATAACATTACCGTAACAGAGAGAGAGAAAAGAACAATTTGATCATCAATAATTAGAAATTTATATTTTCAATCATGATTAAAAAGTAGTTTTATTTAAATGAAAAAATGCAGAAAGCGGTCTATTAAATTTATTCATCAGACAAACCAAATATGTATGGTAACAATCCGATCGGTATTGTCTGAAAAGTCGTCGTTTTTGGACTCTACGCATGAAGAATTAATATCCTTTTCTTGGTTATTTTTCACACACAATGTCTTTATAGTTTGTCAGTAATCTGGAAAAGTGCAGTCAATACCGTCCATAGTGTATCGACATCGTCTAGTTAAGAGACATTTTCCCAGCTTGTAACCACTGACGTAAGCACGATCACGTGATCGTTATCTAATTAAAAATCATTCTTAATGACAAGCGCTTGATTCTTTGATCAGAAAAATGCTGATTTATCAGGTTTTGACCAGCAAAATTGTACAAAACATGTATTAAGACCAATATTTATTAATTTAATAAAAAAAAAATTTAAAAAAATCGTGTCATGTCTCCTTTAATAAACATCATTAATGGTTAAAATCAAGGAAATCACTGAGGAATTGAGTAACTGTTTGAAATTACGATTGAAATGGATCACTCAAGGGATTTTGTAACTCTTGGGATAAATGATTAAAATGGATCACTAAAGGAGTTTCTTAACTCTTGTAAAATACGATTAAAATGGACCACTCAAGGAATTTCTTGATCATTTGAAAATACGATTAAAATGGATCACTCCAGGAATTTCGTCACTATTGGCATTCTTTTAGTAACTAGGTGGTATATTGGTGAAACGAATCCCTGAAAAATTGAGTAACTGTTAGATAGAAGTATAATTACTTTCTATCCGATGATATAGAAATGCGTTTCAAATACCACAGAAGCACATATTTTTCTGTCCAAGGGCAATAACCACTATATTTTTTTGCCCTTTTGAACATTTTCTATAAAATCCGACATGAAATGTAGGCGTTAATGTGCTAACAAGATCGGACTGACGGACGCTCGAGAGTTCTATGTCAACACTCTGCATTACGATGAGGGACAATACATTTATTTTCATTCAGACTAAAATTAAACCCAGACTCCTGAGGAAATTACATAGCATATGACTTTTACTTTGTTTATTATTATTTTTCTTATCTACAATGATTAATTACCTTCATCACTTTGTTAATGCATTCAGCTTATTCAGTTTTTAAGAGTTATTCTCCTTAATTTATACTGTGGACCAAAATCTGATTTCAATACAGATCATGACTGTGTCCACACTTCGCTTACAAGGATCCGAAAATTATCTGGTCTACTTTCCGTTCTTGTAATTAATACATTAGCCAATGGAATTTCTGCCTCCAAATTTATGAAAGTATGTATCCTTACGACAAAACCCGAGGATCTCGAAAGGTCTTTAAAATAAAATATACGGCGTGAACAAATGATCTTTACCTTAGGTAGCAATACACAGTTAGAAGTTTAGTTTCGCATTTTAGTTATGGTGAATTTGTTAAATATGATTTTTTTTTTGTACAATAAAATAGATTTTTCTGTTTGATAGTCCGTATTTTCACATCCGTACCGCCAATAGGTCCAGAAATTATTGTAGTGTTTTTCAACAAAGATTTGACCCCTCGAACTTTTTAATTCAATTTTATGGAAAAATGAGGTAAAATGCATATAATTTTTTTAACCTCTTGATAGATAAAAATCTATGGTTTCAGGAAAGGTATCACTCGAATGGATTGAAATTCTCCTTTGGATCAAATTTCTGGGACTTTTGTGACATTTTAACCCCCCTATTTGCAATATTTTGTATCAAATAAATGCAGATTGTTGCCATGGTTACACCAAAAAGAGATTATATTTCACCATTATAACTATTGTAAATCAAATCTATGGAAGATGCTGTTTCCATATATATACACATGCATAACACAAAAATAAAGCCTTATTTGTTAGAAAGCCAGAGAAAGAGGTGGTTAAAAATAATGAGTGTCAATTTTAACTTTTTTTCCTAACTGTGTATTGCTACCTTAATCAGATTGTTTGTACACCGTAGTACAACATTTATATATTATTTCGGGTTAAGAGTAAAATGCGTTTTTTGAGATTACTATTTTTGATTAATGCGTTCAATATTTGTGCAAGAGTTACAATTTAGAATATATTGCATTAATGCGTCTGTTAAAGCAATGTATATTTCGTCTGCTAGTGAACATCTTTGATGCGGCGTAGTTATTCATTCAACTCGGTTCAACTGGAAAAGAAAACAAAAATGTCTCCTCTGCCGGATAATCAAAGTATAGAAAGATGTACCACCAAACATTCTCAACATTGAGAACTACAAGCCATTTAAAGTTATAGATTCATAGCCCACATTATGCTAATAGTGCCAGCCAAGTTTTTGATATGTAAGCGTATTTCGTAGACCCTTTACAAATCACAGATGTAAAATTTGGTGTAGATAATATCCAAATAAGAAATTTAGACAATTTTTGTGCTCCTTGAAAATCTCAGTATGGTTTACTTTGTTTTTACACAGTTTTGACTTAGAAGAAAAACCGACATGGTTAGAAAATACAAATAATTACACCATTACTAACACAATTCTATATTAAAATTCTTGTAATGATTAGAAAATACATAAAATAAAACCAATACAAAATTCATCCCAATTTTATATTCTATTTTTAGAAATTTACCTGTGAAGTCACTTTTTGTGGCGTTGATACATTCGTGTGACGTACAGTTCATGATTCTATTGTGGTGAACTGGTGTACTCAGTCGTAAATTTATGGATGTTTGTCCGTTGTTATTCTGTGGTTTAGATGTTGTAATGTACTATCATATTATTTATTTATGTACATTGTATTTCTCTGTCCAGAGTGTTCTTGCGTTTATTTGTACTGTATTTCTGTCACGTAATGTTGTCATTTTAGTGGTATTTTTAACATTGACATATAAGCGGGAGTTTTGGCTAGCCATAAAACCAGGTTCAACCTACCATTTTTATCTTAAAACGTCCTGTACCAAGTCAGGAATATGGCAGTTGTTATCAAATAGTCCGTTTTTATGTATGTTGGCTTTTGTTTTTGTAGCAGTTCAGTGTTTCTGTTGTTCCGTTGCTTACCTATTACAGTTGATGTGTTTCCCTCGGTTTTGGTTTGTGATCCGGATTTGTTTTCGCTTAATCGATTTATGACTATTGAACAGCGGTATACTACTGTTGCCTTTATTTACTTCCATTACATAAAGATTCATTGAAATTCGTTTCTGATTATTTGGTTATTTCTTGGTCGTTAGTTTTATTGGCGGAGGAAACCGGAGTGCCTGGAGTGAACCACCGACCTTCGACAGGAAAACTGACAATCCTAGTCAATTTAGAATGAAGTTGAATGAACCTGCCACGTGCGGGGTTCGAATTCAAATTGATTTCTGTGTAGGAGAAGTAGGAACAGTTTCTCTTGGAAACTTGTTCATTTTGTTTGGTTTGATATTTAGTTTTGTTTTAAAAACACTTGAGTTTTATGACTTGTTGCTATTCATCCTATTCATAACTTTATTAAATTCAAGATTTTGCTCTCTTACGAACAACGGCAGAAAGTTAAATATCCGAAAAAAAACCCAGATATTTTATTTAAGTGTCTTTGCATTAATTTCTCCTTAGAATAGTACGTTAATGTTCAAATGTCTATTTTCTGTCCGGTCTTTTGCAATTGCTTTCATAAGGTTTTATCGAGGACTATTAACAAGCAAGGAACTGCAAATTTGGACACCACATGTTAAGTGAGTTATTTCAAAACAAACACTGGCGGATCTTTACTCTTATACTTAATTCAAAAACTATAGTTGTGTAAGTCTTGGATTCAACAATGTCACCAATTAAAGTGTATTTGTGTGAAAACACTTGTAACATGTACAACTGAATTGTTACAGGCTTGGTCAGATGATCGACTAGATTGGTCAAATAGTTCCACGACTATGCAAGACTATACTAATGTCAAATTTTTGTTTAGTACTGAAGAATATGTTTGGAGACCAGCCCTTATTATAGAAAATTCGTAAGTGTATCCTACATAATGTTTATCACATCACATCATTACATATAATTTAGTATCTTGGTGAAGTACATGTATCTATATATGCGTGTCACTATAATTGAAAACCTAACTCGGTGAGCGGTTAAAATTCGTGTTGTATTCTAATTAGTGTTTCTATAGAGAGGAGGCAGTCAAATAAAAACCAATATTTTACATATGAAATTTCCCTTCTTTGACGATATACAACATAATATGTATCTCAAGACCATGTCAACGAATTTGTATTAAAAGTTAAAAGAAAAGAACAACTGCTTCAAACAACATGTGACTGAATAATACTGATAATTCAATGGGTCTTCAATCATGTGCTGTGCGCATTCCCAAATTGATGTGTTACTTGGTCACTCGTTTAATATTTTCGACATTAAAATATTGCTTTAGTTATTTTTATAATTATTTAAATATATTTATCACTACCACGACAAAATTTCTACATGAAAATATTCTACACATATGGAGGCGAGGATTCAGACGGGGTCACACCCTTTACGCGCCCCATTAAACAGAAAAAAAATATATAATAGGTTAAATTACAGCAAATTTTGTGTCAAAATATGGTCCTCAAACTCCTAATTCTCAAGAGGGCCCGTATACTCAAATTTCGTTTTTTAAAGTTTAATTTAAATCTAATTGTCGATAATGTTACAGCTTTTACCGAAGTGTAGAAATCACTGGTACTTTTGCATGGAAACAGAAACTGAGATGAATAAAATTGTATATACAATATCAGATCTTTGCTGTAGAAACTTTCTGTTTTGCTCAATGCTTATCGATGTTACGAAAATTTAATATCACATTGTATATTTCAGAGTGAACGATATAAGTATCATAAGCGATAAAACCATTCCAATGCGTATAAACAGTAGAGGGATTATCTATTGGAGTCCATCTGGTATTTACGTAGTTAGTTGTGAATCGGACACTACATATTATCCCCTCGACTCACAGGAGTGTTCTATTAAGGTTTCTTCGTGGGCTTACACGTCAACTGAAGTATACTTAACATTGGGAGCAGATCCGATTGATTTGAGTTTTTATTCAGCTAACGGTGAATGGGATCTAATTGCATCTAGTGGTACAAAATCTGGTGATAAAACAAGAGGCTCAGACTCGTTTTCATCTTTAACGTTTACGGTCAAATTGCAGAGACGACCTATGTTCCACGTACTCAACACCTTATTTCCGGTCGCATTAATGGCGGTCCTAATAGCAATGGTGTTCAAGCTAGATGTAGATTCTGGTGAAAAGATCGGATTTGCCTTGACTGTCCTGTTGGCCTATGCTGTGTATTTGACAATGATATCTGATAATATTCCCAGTACATCAGTAACTGTTTGTTACCTGTGTAAGTATAATATTCCCAGTACATCAGTAATTGTTTGTTACCTGTGAAAGTATAATGTTCCCAGTACATCAGTAACTGTTTGTTACCTGTGTAAGTATTATGTTCCCAGTACACCAGTAACTGTTTGTTACCTGTGTAAGTATTATGTTCCCAGGACTTTAGTAACTGTTTGTTACCTGTGTGAGTATAATATTCCCAGCACATCAGTAACTGTTTGTTACCTGTGTAAGTATAATGTTCCCAGTACATCAGTGACTGTTTGTTACCTGTGTAAGTATTATGTTCCAAATACACCAGTAATAGTTTGTTACCTGTGTAAGTATAATGTTCCCAGTACATCAGTCACTGTTTGTTACCTGTGTAAGTATTATATTCCCAGTACATCAGTAACTGTTTGTTACCTGTTTAAGTACTGTATAATACCTTTGTAAGTATAATGACTCCAGGACATCAGTAACTGTTTGTTACCTGTGTAAGTATTATGTTCCTAGTACATCAGTAACTGTTTGTTACCTGTGTAAGTGTAATATTCCCAGTACATCAGTAACTGTTTGCTACCTGGGTAAGTGTAATGTTTCCATTACATCAGTTACTGTTTGTTACCTGTGTAAGTATTATGTTCCCAGTACATCAGTAACTGTTTGCTACCTGGGTAAGTGTAATGATTCCATTACATCAGTAACTGTTTGTTACCTGTGTAAGTGTAATATTCCCAGTACATCAGTAACTGTTTGCTACCTGGGTAAGTGTAATGTTTCCATTACATCAGTTACTGTTTGTTACCTGTGTAAGTATTATGTTCCCAGTACATCAGTAACTGTTTGCTACCTGGGTAAGTGTAATGATTCCATTACATCAGTAACTGTTTGTTACCTGTGTAAGTATAATATTCCAGGTACATCAGTAACTATTTGTTACCTGTGTAACTATAATATTTTAAGTACACTAGTAACTGTTTGTTACCTGTGTAAGTATAATATTCCCAGTACATCAGTAACTGTTTGTTACCTGTGTAAGTATTATGTTCCCAGTATTTCAGTTACTGTTTGTTACCTGTGTAAGTATCATGTTCCTAGTACATCAGTACATCAGTAACTGTTTGTTACCTGTGTAAGTATAATGTTCCAAGTACATCACTTACTGTTTGTTACCTGTGTAAGTATTATGTTCCCAGTACATCAGTGACTGTGTGTTACATGTGTAAGTATAATATTCCCAGTACACCAGTAACTGTTTGTTACCTGTGTAAGTATTATGTTCCCAGTACACTAGTAATTGTTTGTTACCTGTGTAAGTATTATATTCCCAGTACATCAGTAACTGTTTGTTACCTGTGTAAGAATAATGTTCCTAGCACATCAGTAACTGTTTGTTACCTATGAAATTGGGTAGTAAGTTGGAAACAATTAAATTAAGGAGGTTTTGAATATTGAATATTGAAACAAAAAACTTTGTTTTGAATGTAGCTTTGATTCTCATAATAATAGGCCATTATAATTTTGTTAAAAGATTTTTTTCTTTTTACCATATTAGTTTCGAATGTTTAAAATAGTGTCATGATAAAATTAATGAAAGGTTCTAAGCTTTAAAAGTTTTTAAGATCGATATTGTGCAGATAAAGAGTTACAGAAAAAATAATAAAAAATACCTAATGCACATTCAGAATTCAATATACAACACCAAAACGACACGTAAACACATTTGTTTGGAAAAGAACAACTAATTAGAGCTCTGTTACTTTGCATTTTATAAAAGGTAGAATATGTGGTATGATTGCCAATGAGACAATTCTCCACCAAAGACCAAATTACATAGAAGTTCGCAACTATAGGTCACTGTTATGCCTTAAACGACGAGCAAAACGCATAAGGCATAGCAAGCTATAAAAGGATCCGACATGACAAATGAAAAACATTTCAAACGAGAAAACTATAGGCTTCATTTATGTACAAAATAATAAACGAAAAACAAATATGGTCCACAGCAACGAACGCCATCCACTGAATTACAGGCTCCTGACTTGGGATAGGCACATACAGAATGTTGCGGGTTAAACTTGTTCGATGGCGCCCAACCCTCTCCTAACATGTCACAATAGCGCAACAGCATGTGAACAAACTATAAAAATCAACTGAAAAGGTCTTTACTCATCAGATCGATATTAAGCACAAAATCAACTATCAAAAACACTAAAGACACAAAGTCCAGATCTGAGAGTACTCGCAGTTATTGAAAGCTAGTTCAAAACAAATAACAACTAATAAAAAAAAACAGGTGCATCCAAACACTTGATAGATATTATGCAGATATTCAAACCTCATTCTCTATCTAACAAATGCTTTTTTTTTCTTAATATTCAAAATGAAATTGATGCATTAGTTACTTTCACTCTTTCTTAATCTGAAGTTAAAAGGGTTTTTTTTATACCTTGATCTTAAAAAAATTCTTGGAAATCTGCATTCCAAATTTATGACAAAAAAGAAGGACTATTCCTTACCTATTCATTTGAAATGTGTTTTAATGGAGTAAACATTTCTCAAATATGAATCTATAGGGAAAGAAAAATTTCGATTGAACTATTTTTTTAATGAAAAGTGGTATTTCAGACCCACTAGGTTTATATTAATATTATTTATAATATCTGTAAGGCAAACAAGTAAAAAAAAATGCCCTTAAAATCTTCCTACATGTATGCCTTTTATTCTTGTTGAAAATGATACGGCAGTTAATCTTATATTTTAGGAGATTAAAAACGAGTCGCCTAGGTTAAGCAGTCTGAACTTTGAATAAGGAGAAACAGTTCTTGTTCATATTGTTGTTTGCAGCTGCTTTGTCGTGTAATAAACCGATGTCAATAAGTTAAGGCTTGATTTTGAACTGTTCTGTAATGTCTGTTTTTCTCTGTACTTTTTATTTCTGTTCGGAATAAATAGGGGAGGATTGAGCGCTCACGAAACTTGACTCCTCCTCATTTATATATGCCAGTCCTGTCCAAAACCAGGAACTTTTTAAGTGGTTGTGTTTATTTATACCTTAGTGTTTTGTCCTGAAATTAAGGAATTAGGTATTGATTCTTTGATAGTCTTTATTATATTTGATAACTTATGTATAACGTTTAATGATATTGTTCTTGACATATCGTTTAATTCCTTGCCTAATGGTTCAACTGTAGATGTAATGTTGATTTTTATTGTATACCTCACAACAGATTCTGACGAAAGTAACATTTAGAGGTCAATTGTTCAAATTCAAGTTCTTTATTAAATTTTGAGCCTCATCAACTTGACATTTTAGTTAATAGAAATGCATTTTTGAAGCGCTGAATGTAGGCACACTTCTATGAAAGCTGTAAAGGTATGAATAAAAACTGCCGCCAATTGCACATACACACTTCTATATAAACAAAGACAATAAGTGACAATGTCAATGGCTTCGGACAACGCAAGATAACAACGTATCTGGTGGGTCTCATTTGGGGTCTAAGCGTGATGCGGGATTGCCGATTTTTTGTAAGCGTGACACATGAAAGTCAAATTATTGTGCCGTGAAAACGGGAAATGAAGTCTAGCGGGACACGGGAAATTACAAAAAATGAGAATTGCTTACGTACATAGTGTAAGCGGGATACGGGAATCTGACAAAACAGTAAGCGGGATCCGGGATCAGAACCCCCCCCCCCCCCCTTCCCCCCCCCCCCACCCCAGAGTAAAGCCAGAAATAAAGTTCATAACTTTAACTAAAAAAAAACGTAAACCTTATTCAGCATTACACAAAAATATCTTAAAGTCTGCACACGTTGTTAGATTACACACCATGTAAACAATTTGAATGAAAACATCGATTTATCTGGAGGATCTTTTTTTTTTGCAAATCCTATTCCAAAAGTTTGGAAATCCAAAATATCAAACGTTTGGGACAATAAAAACCAAAATAGGGCATTAAAGGAACAACCAAACCGTTAATGTTCAACTTTGCCTGAAGGAGTTTCAGTCGTGCTTTTATTTGAATTAAAAATATTTCCATACCAATATGATATTTGTTTTCTTATTTCAGCGTTGTACCTGGCATTTATTTTTTCCTTAGGGGGCATATCAGTAGTCCTTACAATCTTTGTTCTCAGTTTACATCACAAACCGGAAGAAGATGAAATACCACGATGGGTGAAATCTCTTACCAACACAGTTCTCCTTAAAATGGCATTAATGAAAAGCTGTGGAAAATGTTGCAGAAATTCCAAAGTAGCAGAAGTGGTATCCTTATCCGACAAAACAGAGACCAAGAAACTAAAGATATCCGAGAAATGTGAATTCCCTATTGTAGAAGCCACTGAAGATAAAAATGAAGACGGGATTACTTGGCACAAGTTATCAATTATTATGGACAGAGTTTTCTTTAATATTTACCTTCTACTGATAATTTTGAGTACTAGTATGCTACTAATGGTGATCTTTATTCATTATTCCAAAGCATAATCAAACCATTGCTTACCGGTAAAGGGAAGATAAACTTGTATAATCTTTATTTTTTCTGGAACATAATCCTGTTGTTAATTGTATATTTTTATTGAAGTCAAATTGTATATATCAAAAATATTGCCGATTTTTTCGCTGCGTACTATGCATGTTTTCATTTACCTTCATCACGAAAGGCAGATGCAAAAGTTCGGACAGCGAAAACTGATTTTATAGTATCAATAACAATCATATATTTAGAGTACTAATATTGCATCACACTAATAAAAGGAATCACTTACTGTTCCCTTTTTTTACATTACCTTTAGTACGACAACATAGAATAATTACAAAAAGTCATTTTCCATGTTTCCTTTTTTTCGTCATTCTGTAATGTATAACGAAAGTTTAGCTTTGAAAACAAATCTAGGATTTCTTAAACTGAACAGCACTGTAGTTGTTAACATTATCGTTCTTTGTTCTATGGTGGATAGTTTCTTATTTTTGTACTGTACCACTATTTGCAAAAGTTTTCGTTAATGATGTTTTGGATGTTCTATTTTTATATAGACTATTTTATGCTCCCAATTGTTCATAAAATGTATTCAGCGTATCTGACCTTTGTACTATCAGACGAAATATGCTTATTATAGAAATTTGGTTTTCCTTTTTTTTTGCATTGAACATAGAATAATTGAATTTAATATGATTGATGTTTACAAGTAAGTGGCATGTGCACAATTATATTGGATGTTTTTATTATGAAACTTTGACGATGCAATAAGCTACATACATTGAGGGAAAAAAAATTCTTTGTGATAGTTCAATCATTTATTATCGTATTAACCACTATATTATAATATTGTATATCGTTTTTTTAATAAATATAATGTAATTTCTAAGTATGTCATTAGCTCAGTAAGTAGGGAGATGACAAACTGTGCAAGGGATCCAGGGTTCAACCACCCACTGATACAGGGGTAATTTTGGAACGAAAATCATGCTCTACTGTTACAAATAAACTGATCAAAGATACCAGGCTTAAAATTTTGTATGTCAGACCCGCGTTTCGTCTACAAAAGACTCTCAAATAAAAATGTTAAAAGGGCCAAATAAGTTAGTAAGTAAATAAATTTTCTAGTGTCGGTACATATTTCCAAACAACTACAAACATGAGTTTAATAAAGCTCTTACAACCGTCTATAAAACATATACAAAAACTCATAAATACGAAGTTGAAGAGCATTCGGAGGTAAAAAATTCGGAAAAATTAAGAATACACTACTTTTCAGTCGAATACTTCATTCACATTTAAAAACTGTTATGTTATCGGTAATAGCCATTATTTTATATGTACAATGTCGTTATGTTGTTTGTAAAGTATAGATTCAACTATGAACAGTTTAAAGAACCGTAGAAGCAGTTTTACTCTATTCCCACACTATCGTATGTAAAACTATATTTCGCGTTGACAGCCATTAAAAAAAAATAACAAGATGTGATATGATTGCCATTGAGACAACCATCCACCAAAGTTCAAATGACGTGGAAATAAGCAAATAGATCACAGTACGGCCTTCAACAATGAAAAAAAACGCACACCGTTTAGACAGCTATAAAAGTCCCCGGCATGAAAACTGTGATTGTTTTTGGATTTATAGCAAAATGATAATTGATAAGGGCATGTCAAATGACCTCAAATGCAGAACTTATATTTAATCACTGAAATGGTTCCAAAAAATAGCAGTTAGCATGTAATCCCCAAACTGTACAACTGTGTGATTGCTGTTATTGCCTGTTGAGTCGACATATTATATGTAATTTTTAGAAAGAGTATGCTTTAAACAATTTTCAAAGGAAGTAACTGACTTTGATGCCGAAGACAAGTCGGAGGCATCTGAGGTTTGTTTACACCTCAAAACAATTCCAAGATCAGATTTATAGGTCTTTGTGAAAATGAAAATTATTTTTTCGACAAGTCAATACAATTTTCCGTCACACTTAAGCCATTTTCCAGAAAGGGTTAGTTAATGTAATGACTATATCATCTTTTTGGTATTGTTTCGGTGTATGCTGTACTTTAGGTTGTTGTTCCTTTAATTACTTTTTTTCTTCCTCATTTTCCATTGTTTTTTCCTTGTATTCCAGTTTATACCATTTCTTGCATATTCGATTTTAAAACTACAAGTCGGTCTCGCAGGAAAATTGAAAAGATAAAAGCAACATGAACCCTTCAGAAAAACAGGGACGAACTCAGATGATATGGAAAAGAAAACATAAACGGGGAACTATGCATATCATTTGTATCACTCGTATTTCTTTTTTTTTTAAACCAGACGTTGTTTAGGAAGATATTCTTCAATTGAATATATTTGACGTTCCCTTGTCACCATCTTATGGTGTTTATATATCTCAACTTGTTCGATTCGCTCGTATATGTAATAACTTATTTGATTTCAACGAAAGAAATCTCTGTATTACTGAAAAATTATTACACCAGGGTTTTCGATATCACAAACTAGTCAAAACATTTACTAAATTTTATCATCGGTACACTGAGGACATCATTCGTAAATATAAATCAACATGCAGACATCTTATACGTTCGGGTATTTCACATCCAATATTTTATGGTAATATTCTTTATAAAGCACAAAAATATCGGCATTCACCTAAAAAGCTAACCAAACCTTTAAACAGACTTATTCGGAAAGGATATGGTTAAGATACTGTTGTCAAGTCATTAAGGATTGCATATTTTGGTATTAATATTGATTCACTCATAGGGTCTTTGCATCGGAAATAAACACATTTATTCTAAAACCAGTTGTTGGCATGATACGGGTTATGTTCTTCTCATATATTTTATGATGGTATGATACTTAAACCCTAACGATAGGGATTGTACTTGATTTTCATATGATGAAGACATAATCTTTCAATCAGTTTAATTGAGGTCTAGAGCTGGCATGTCAGTAACTGCTAGTAGTCCTTTGTTCATTTATGTATCATTGTCATTTTGCTTAGTTTCTTTTGTTACCTATTCTGAAATCGGACTCGGACTTCTTTTAAACTGAGTTTTACTGTGCGTATTGCTATGTGTTTCTTTATTCTACATTGGCTAGAGGTACATGTTTAACCCCGCCGCATTTTTGCGCCTGTCCTAAGTCAGGAGCCTCTGGCCTTTGTTAGTCTTGTATGTTTTTTTAATTTTAGTTCATTTATATGTTTTGGAGTTTAGTGTGACGTCCATTTTCACTGAACTAGTACACAATTTTATTTAGGGGCCAGCTGAGGACCACCTCTGGGTGCGGGATTTTCTCGCTGCGTTGAAGACCCATTGGTGGCCTTCGGCTGTTGTCTGCTCTTTGGTCGGGTTGTTGTCTCTTTGGCGGCATATTCCCCATTCCATTCTCAATTCTATTTTACACATATGAATATGTGCAGTGGTCATTTTTCAGCTTAAAATGCCTTTGTGTTTATTTGAAAGATGGATGGTGGCCTTGGGATATTTTCTGCTTTTTGGTCCGCCGGTTGTGGTAATTTTGACACACTCCCTGTTTCTATTCTGAATTCTATGAACTCACAATTATACATATGTGATTGGAATGATCACATATTAACGTTTACCCTACATTTCTGTCAATACATACATTAATTCCATTTCAAATTTTTTCCATTTGTTTGCGTTTTTTGCCAATTATCTTGAAAACTTTACTAGATAAAAGAAACTTCAGAAACGAAAAATGATCAGCAGGATAAGATCAACAAATATGTCAACATGACTATAATGGTAGGTTAACCCTTAATAGAGTTATTTCCCTTTAATGGTAATTTTTATTAAAAGTGGCCATTGTTGAAGATGTAGGTGAGCGACATAGACTCTTTAGAGCCTCTAGGTTAAATGAGATTAATGCATGCATTTCTGCTATGTGATGTAATTTTGATTTTGGGACTGATATTGTATGTTTACGTTTTGTTAGTTTTCTGTCAAACATGTTATCGCACCGTATCATGTGAATTTGTTTGGGTTTAGGGTTTTCTATATGAATTAAAAGAAAACTAGTATTTGTTAACCTAGTTAATTATGTCAAGAGTTTTATTGGTTGTTTTTCAAATTATAAAGTATAACGGTACTGTAGCCAATATATAGCATGGGACATTTGGTATTGGTTTGCACCTGATGAGATTTATTTAATAAATAATTGTCTTTCACATGGAAATTGAATTCATACCATGCATTTTTAAATGAGTAGGTTGTCACCTGCCTTTTTATTCAAGTATCTGAATTTCAAGTGTGATATATAAACATTTTCAGTTTTGGGATTTTACTCTACTGTTCCTGTCATACAATAATATTCATATTGTGAAGTATTTATTTCTAGATTAAAAAACATTAACTCAAAATCTCGCTTCCTTGGTCTTTTGCTAATTGTGTCTAGCTCAAATGCTATATATTGACTGTGTGGAATGGATACCCGCTAACATCTATCCTATTAAATGAGAAGACCTCATTTTGTGTGTCGCTTCTCCTCATTCCACAATAAATTAATCATCATGCCTTTGTGTCCTATAGGTACCATGCATAGTCCCATTTGTCATCCTCGCTTATGATTATTCAGTTTGGGTTATTTTGGGAGAAAAACGAAAATAAAAGCGTCCGAATATTGTTTCCGTCATCGGACGGACTTTTAAGTCATGGACAAGACTTCCGTTTAGGACAATTATTTTTGCGTTTTTCTGTATACCATGCTCATATACTATAAATAAAGTGTATTTGCTATTCACTTTCAATTCAAAGTTTACTATCCGCGGCTGTCACTGATATAAAATATAGATAGTCTCTATAATGACTATATCGCCTAGGATAGTATTAAAACTTGGAATTGATAGTAAATAGCAAGTACACTTTATTTATAGTATATGTATGTTCATAGTATACAGCAAAACAGAAAACAAAAAATAACGGACTTTGGAAAAAAGGGGGCGGGCTAAAAAAACAATGTCCTTTCATCAAGTACCTATAACTTTTGATACCTCTCCTGAAATTCTCCAGTCATAAATTTTTTTACAAAAATTCATCCTACAATAGTTTATATACTTTCAACCACACTCTAAATGCCCGCGATTTCACTGGTGTGTTCTAGTTTTATTGACTTTGGGACGTGAAGTCCAATAACTTAGTTTTAAAGAGCATTTAAGACTCACAGTAACACGGTAAGAATAATCTTCAATGGGTCTTTTGGAAAGTTAGATATCTAACTGGTTTCCATATGTTAACTTACCATGCCCTTAATTCGATGTTTATTTGCTTTTGGTCTGTTTTTTTCCGCTTTTTTTGGTGGCGTTGGATCTTAAATGATAATAATTTGACTTTCATAAATATTAAGTTTTTGTCATCAACAGTGTTTTAACCATTTACCTATTATGCCCTTGAATATACACCTTTTTGAGGCGTTTCAATCTTTTTGGCTGATAACAAAAACATGGTGTTTCGTTTTTGCGAGTTTTTTTTTAAACTTTCAATCTTTCATAGGTTTTTTTACACAACCTTGGAGCTATGTCCATTTGTTATTTCCAATTTTCCCTGTTATTGATCAACCTCATATTTATATTTGCCAATCATATTCCCGGATGGACCAGTCGTAACCTATTGAATTGCTGCAGGATTACTACTAATTTCATTATGTAAACAAGTTCGAAATTAAGAAATATACAATTAAACTTGGGCGAGAGTCCAAATGACGTAGATGCATGCAACTATAGGACATCTTATGGCCTTTAACACTGAGCAAAATCCATACCATATAGTCAACTAGATTTCATTCATAATTTGATGCTATTTTGGTAAACAACAAGACTATGAAATCCGGCAGTAATATTCGTATACTGTAAACATGAAATTCTTATTTTCGATAAGCATTAAAAGAACTATGAAGTAGGTGCAACATTTAAAATTGGTATTTTAAGAACTATTCATGTCGATTTGGGAAACATTACAAATCATGTGTCACTTTTTATGGACAGGTTGGTTGTAATTAATGTTCTTGTCTATCGTTTCGTTGCTATACTTTTAGAGGTAGAAATTCAGATTGAAGCTAATTTTCATTAAAGGTACTCATAACTATCAAAATTGATACGTTTTATATGAAAGGTAATGATTAAAACACACACGATTTTGAATATTTTTTGCTATGTCACATGCTTTATCCTTATTTTGATAGCAATGTACTTCAAAATATAAGTTTAAGTACAAAAACACATTTCAATTGATTAGTTAATGTGAAATAATATTTCAACTATAAAAATGTAAATTATGTAAACACTTCTAGAATGGAAACTTGTCGTCTCTTCTGAACACAAAACACGACAACAGATAAATTAACAAACATAGATTTAATTAAATTGGAATTAATTCAACTTCGTGTTATATTCATCAAAAACGATCTATATCGTGATTACAAGTGCAACAATTCTCTAATGATAGAATACAATACAAATGGTCTAAACGGATTTCTGCACCGGTAGTTGTAGTGGACACTGTGTAAAGAATCACCATTATTTTTTGTAGTGAATAGGTGAAGTGTAATTAATTTTATTTACCTTAAAGATTAATAAAAATGTAAACATTTAACTATGTTGATAATTAAACACCACCAATCAAAAGAAAATCGTTGTAATCACGTGATTTAAACCATATTTTAAAGGTATCGTTTCACATCTGAAACTATTTCTTTTGCGTGGTTTAAAAATACATGATATATGATAGATTGCACACAATGGCATGGACAAAATTGATATTATTAATAACTCTGATGGGTAAGTCTCGATATGCATTTCATTTACAAATTTTCAAATGAAAATAAAATAAAAATAGAAACAACAAATTAATTTTTCTTATCGAATAATTTTATTGATCATGAATATTTACTTTTTTGAGATAGCTTAATATTTTCCTTCAATCTGATTTTGGCGGTCATGTTTCTATTTATGTATTAAAAGACATTTTTCGAGAAAAAAAAACTCTTCCCCTCCAAAAAAAACAACAGAATATTCCGCAGGCTTTCCTTTGTCTTCAAATCTCGTTCATATCGTAATTTCTTATATTTAAGTACTTGAAGTGTTACCTTTTCGAAGGTTTTTGTTGTTCTTTCGGAGAACCTTTTGATTATATAACATCCCATGTATATACATCTATTGCTTCCCAACTTTTGACTCGTGTAATTTTCTTGAAAAAATAAGGAAAATTTAATATGATTAACTGCCTCTGGATCATGCCACTTTTGGTAGATGTATTATTGGTCAGCTATTGGTTTTTTATTGCACTTCCACCATTTATCATTATAAGACAGAATACTGTAAATTGTCACATATCAAACAAAGGCCAATGGTGGCAATTTCCCTTGAAAGGGTTGATCTTAGATGGTCGTGTATTTTTGTGTTTATATATTTTCTGCGGTTTTTTTTTTTTGCACGAATCTTTGGCTTTCACTCGAGTACCTATTGAATATAAATCCGAAACTGTGCAATGAATACAGAAAAATACGATCCATTCTCATTGATTATTTGGGATTAAATGATAATAATGAGTGAAAGTAAAAGATATAGGGTCAAAGACACTGAAGTATCAATGTCAATCAATAATATTTTAAAATTAATAACAAATGTATTTCATCTGTGTTAAACTATTTGAGTGCATACTGACTGGGATCTCAGTCTTGAGAACAATAACACAAATTTTCTCGTCCTTATATGACTTTGATTTAAGCTTTACCTTAAAACATAATACTGACAACAATTGCTGTCACGGAATTTATTTATTAGGAGATGTTTTGTTTTTGTGTTTTATGTATAAAATCTGTCTTCTTCATAACGTTTTTAATCTGACTTTTAAAAAATATAATAAAATGAAGAATCACTTTTGAAATCTTATATTCATTTGTCCCTATGGAGTTTAAGTTTCTAAATTTTCCATTTGTAAATGTTCGCCTATAGATAGCGGCATGACAGTATTATAGTACTTCCATGATAGGAGCGAGGATATTTTTTGTTTTGGATCAATTAATTTTTCAACAACAACAAAATCTCACAAACAGGCTTTGAAAATTTGGTTGAAATGCTTGCTTCCAAAATGTCGTATGTGAACTTTAACATTTTTGTAAATGGATGAGAAATAAAAACTTGGACATTTCTTGATAACACACAAACTAACCTAATTTTAACAGAAATAAAGAAATGTACAAGTTCTTGATTCCCAAAGCCATTATACAACACTTTTTTGCAATGTATATAATTCTATATTTTTGTCAAAACTTCAAAATTGAATACACGTAAAAGGTATTGAAGTAAAGATGAATAACCGGGGGAAATTATTGTAAATATGTTCATCATCTGTAGATGTGTTTCTTTTGAAAGTCACAATCCGTTACATCCAGCACTAAATTTTGTGAATAGTATAATTAAAAACTAGATGATCAAATTCTAATTGCAAAGTAAAACGTTAATTGATCAATTTAATGAAAACCGTTAGATAGCTAAAACTGCAATCAAATTCGCCCGTCCGTTTATTCATCACTTAAGTCACCATATCTGTGTCCAATCATGCTATTAATTATGATCAATCAAGCTTCATCTTTCATTAATTCCTTTCTATTTTTATTTTTTTTATCTTTTTCAAAATTTACAGTGCAAAAATAAATCTTCTATATGTATATTACACATTATCACAGACATTTTATCAAAGGGTATTTTTTTATCTTATTAAATTATATTTTCAAAAATGTAGGTATACGTAGGTAGGGATACAAATCGCTCTTTTGGTGCTTAAAATATACAAAAAGACTTGGGAGAATATAAGCAAATTTAAGTTAAACCCAATTGGTGTAATGCTTTCTTATTTGATAGTGGTATATGTCATGATCTGTATGGATAAAGGCGTTTACTGTGTTGGGTTTAACATTTTAAAACTCTACGAAAAGATAACAGGAATAACGAAAAGTATAGGACAACACAACTCAAACTAACCTGGGACAGTGGTGTAACACCACAACATAAGAACAAACTGTAAAAGTCAGAAGCAAGTGGCTTAACTAAAAAGATCGGTAGGAGGCATAAAATCAGCTAACATAAAAATAATAGACACAAGGCACCAAAATAAGAGTACTCGCAATTACTGAAAGCAAGTTCAAGGCAAGTTACAACTAATAAATACGTCTTTTTCTCCCAAACTAAAGTATATTAATCAGTACAAATCCAACGGATTTAGTGTAAGGACGTCATAAACAGCCTGACTTGGTACAGACTACAGGCACAAAATCTAGTAAGGTTCGTTAGTTTTTTTGTTTTTTTTTTGTACAAATGCACTTAACATGTCTAAACAACGGTAACACCAGGTATTAGACGTTCACTGATTGGTTGTGTTGTGTCTGTTTTGCGCCTTCATTGTTGATACTTTTTTCGAATCTCTGTATGGGAGCAAGTAGTGAGCTTATTTGTTTGCTTGTTTTTCTCTCTTTTGTGTATTGTCTCATGTATATTTACAACATATATCTTTATATTTAATAAAAAAAAATTCTACCACCTGAAATATTTTGTTGTGTCTCTTTGAAAATATTCGTTCCATGGGTATTTCCTTGGCTTTTGGTGTCGCATTGAATGGAAACTTGTATCTAAACTTGTTAATATCCATTTAATTTGTAATGTATTTTGAAGTCGGAAATGATAAATTGAAAAAAATATAATTGCGAGTATAAAGGCTTCTGTTCGATTAAGTATGACAAGAACGGACAAACGGTGTTTTATTAATTCCTATTAAAATCTATTATCAATACAGTATTTGCTTTCGAGAAAAAGTAAATAACTGTCTTTTCGATCTTAATGCTTAACATCCTAATTATTGATAGACTTTTGTTTTACGATGAATATATTGTATTTACTCAATACAAAAGTAAATATCTTTTATTAACTTTAAAAAATTATTCTTCTACTCATTTTGGTACAGCCAATAACTGTATTTAGCTCAATTAGACACGCGACGATTTATCTTTTCTGGTGTTTACATGATACTATTGAGTCATGGAAAAGTTGGAAATACACCGAAAATGTCATACAGAGAAACACTATATTTGCCTAATTCATTAATTTTTTCCCCAGATATACATTAGACCACTTTATGACATTTTAGATAGGTTATGATTTGTGTATATTTATATATATGATATTAGTACAGTGTAGGAAAATATAAAATTTATTTGACGAGCTTTAGAAACAGAGACAAAAAAGAGGCTCGTCGAGCTTTTCTCCTGTTTCGTAGCGAGTACAAATAAATAATATTTTACTACACTGTACATGTATTGTTTTTATCCTGCAATTTAACTTTGAGCTTACACGTATAGTTTTTCCACATCAGAATCGTTGAATTTGGTTTTTTTTTGCATGAAATCGGCACGACTGAAACGCGGACCGCAATGAGGACCCTAAATTGAACATCACAATTCAGTAGTCCCGATTTCATTCAAACAAACAAATTCAACTATTCTGATGAGGAAAAACTATACGTGAAAGCTCAATGTTAAAACTGTAATTTTAACATAACCGTTCGCTCGCAACAGAATCAGGTTACCAAAAGACTTTAAACGTATACGTTTATCGCTTCGTGTTATCTGTACACTCTGTACACTTGTGTATTTGTATAGTAGAAAGGGCGATTGCAGGATAAAATGGACATTGTCTGCTGAAGTCTAAATTCCTAAACACTCTGCAACTTAGAAATAAATAAAAAAACGATTGTGGTATTCCATAACGTTAACTTTAATGAAATAAATGTCGTTATATTGATGTTTTTACATTAAAATATTTGCATTTCAACTATTAAAATCAATTTTTATGTGTTACACATATCGAATTGTTCCCAATATATTTTATTTTGAAATTTCAGTGTCATTTAAACCTGTTCATTTCCTCTAAAGAAGAAGAAAAGAAAAATAATTTATTTAAGAACTCAAGATCAAATATTCGATATAATCAAGCAAGATATTTTTAGCATATGGGGTGATTCTGCTTTCCAGGCAATAAATTATACCAAGTAAAGTTTATATTTTAACAATTACACTGCATGTTCATGATACAATGCAAAAATCTGAAATCATGCTTTAAAATCAGTTTCATTTTACAAGAAATAACAGACAGTGTCAATGTACATTGGTTGAATACGATGTCAAATTGTTTGTGACGTTTGAAATAAAAGGAATCAAGTAAAAAACAATTTTTTTTAACCTACAATGAAATGTGCTTTTGGTGATTTGATCCAGAATATAGGTAGTTACAGGTTTTTCATACAATTGAGCATTAAAATATTTGACCATGTCTTAATTGTTATTTGCCCCGACTCATATCATTACGTTGGGATTTGGTTGAGCTTGATTTGTTTTTTTCTGTTTGCGCTGGACCAACCGTTTATTTGTTAAACACTGTGATCACGCTAACATACTTTGCGAACTTCTCCACAAGCTAATTTTGAAATAGTGTTTTAGAAATCAGTAAGAATAAAATGAAATAGGTGGGATCAGTCAAAGAGACAACAACCGAACAAGAAAAAAACACACAAAATACATCTAAAAGTTAACATGCATTCTTGGGCTATGGATAATTGTCTATAACAAATGTGAAGTTTAATATCTTATTGATATGAGTGGACATGTTTTATCTAAAACATAGTAAAAATTTAACTCTTGAGTTGACAAACTTAGACACTTCAACGATCAACCAAATTATGATAGCGAACACAGAAATTGTGAAGTGATGACACCAATCGTTCATCC